CGGCATTCCCTGCATGGGGAAACGTGGCCACGCGTGACACGTGTCGCACGCACGTCGACTGCCGGATAAGACCATTTGTCAAATTACATTTCTGCCGAACGTAGGAGGGTCCTCCGAATTTCTTGACGCTTCAATCGCGGGGATCGACAGCTCGTCCGAGCCGGAAGGGAGGTCCGAAAATGTATGGGCGATAAAAAAAGAGAGCAAAATACTGTATATGTATAAGAGAGAAAGAAAGATTTACATTTTGAGAGAAAAAATAATGATAGCTATTTCTTGAAGATCCTGGAAATAGATGTGAAAAACTGTTTCTTTTTTTATCATACTAGTGAAAAATAAAATATTGTTTCTTTCTTTTGATATCATATATCTCTTTCTATGCCGCTCCAGGCGTACGATCCCGGCGATAGAACCGCTTTTCCAGGTCAAACGAGACAGGAAATGACTCGACGCCGCCGGCGGTTTTCGCAATTAGCGAGTTTAACGCGTTTCCCTCGTACGAGAGATTTTTCGGTCGCGCTTCCGGCGTATTGATGTATCAAACGCCGTTACCAGATGTTTCTCGCATTCAATATTTTTTCGCCGGCCGACTTCTTCGAGATGATGAAAATATCGCTCATAAGAGATGTATATTTTTACGTAATATATTATGTAAAATGATGTACTTTATTTCTTGATATTTGGAGCAGAATCTTAATCTGTCATAATATTTTTATTATATACATGATAAATGTAGCTTGTAAAGGAAAATATTTCTTATTCTAATATTAATTTTTGAATTTATATATTACACGACTAATATAATTTTTCTATAATTTTAAAGTTTCGATTACGGTTTTTTACAGATGTCCTGACAGTGGGCCACGGGCCACCAGGATGCCGACAGACGACGACTATGGCCGAAGAGATCGTCTCCTGTTGCACCAGCACCCTATCGCTCAGTACGGATCCTCGTCATCCCCGCTTCCCGGATCGAGCGCGCCGAATTCCGGCAGCGTGGGGACCCAGATTGGTTCCAATAATCCCAGCGACTGTTTCAAGCAACAAGCGGAGCAGCAGCAATTGTCCGATTTGCGTCCGGTCACGAGTACCGCGAACCAGTCGGGCCAAGAGCGTTACCAGTCGGATCAACAGACTCAAAGCAACGAGCATGTCGGGACCCGAATGGTCGATCGGCACGAGAAATCCGCGGAGAAGTCTACGATCGACTTCTCCAAGTGCGGAGAGGGTCGTTCGTCGGGTTGCGAGCGCTTTGGGCATTATCAGGCTCAGAGCGGTGAGCATGTGGGGAGTCGAATCGGGGGTGAGCGGCACGAGAAGGCCGTGGACAAGTCTTGTATCGATTATTCCAAGTGTGGAGAAGGTGGTCGTCCGTCGAGTTGCGAGCGTTTCGGACATTATCAGGTCCAAAGCGATCAGGCTCACGTCGGCGTGCGAATGGCCGAGCGGCACGAGAAGTCATCCGACAAGCAGTCGGTCGATTTCACCAAGTGCACCGTCGACGGTCGACAGTCGAGTTGCGAGCGTTTCGGGCATTACCAAACTTCGACGTTCGGTCAGTCCTCCAGTTTGCACTACAGTGCGCACGGCAGCGCCGATCGTTTCGCGCGATTCAACGATCTCAGCACGCTGCACGGCGAGCAACGGGTTTCGAGTAACGATCGTTACTCGATCTGCAATCCGGAGCTGCACTTCGACACAGCGGGCTCGAGCGGACCGGGTGAATACGCGAACGCGAACGCGCTCGTCGGGCCCTTCGCCACGGAGACGTTCCCGTCGCCGCCGTCGCCGGCACCGGCCAACGACCGCTTCGTCCCACCACCGCCATTGTCGCCCAGTCCGAGCGAGAAGTACGCCTCGAGCCAGAGCCTGGCTGGTTATCCTGCTGCTGATCGCATTTTGCCCCCCAATTCTCCGGGGCCCAAGTATGGCGCCGACAGCGCCACTTCAGCATCGCCGATGCCCGCCAAGGAGCGCTTCGCCTCCACCGAGCGGCTGTTGGCCACTCAGCAATCAACTCCCGGTGACGCCAAGGATCAACAACGCTACGCTGGACCGTCTGATCATCGTCTGCTCTCGGGGTCTTCCCCGGTCTTGGAAGGACTTCAGACGGGACTCCAGGGCGGCGGCGTCTACGCCAAGGACTCTCGTTACGCCGCCATTTCAGCGGACAGGATACTATCCTCTTCGCCAATACACGCTCCGGTACCGGAGAGATTCGTCGGCAAGTCGGAAAGATACTTGGCCGAGTCGCCCGTTCACGATAGGTATCCTCGACAGGATCCGTCAGCGACAGCACATCATGAGCGATATTCGGCGATTGCGGCGGCCACCGAGAGGTGAGTTCGAGTCAGTTTAATAGACTATTTCTAATAACTTCGCGGACTTGTTTATTAACTGGGGAGAGTTTCTATTCTTTCATATTTAATATTTCGAGTTGTAGTTGCATTTTTATTACGAAATAGAATTTTTGCGAGGTAAACTTTTTACGGCGTGCGCGTAAAATGGATTCAACAGTTTACGCGAGTCTATTTTGTATTTATGTTTTAAAATTCTCCTATGTTATTACTTAATATTTTCCGTTTGGCATGCCCGCAGGTTCCTCTCGAATTCGCCTAATCCTGAGAGCGCGCATCAGCGCTATTCATCGTCAGACCGCACGTCTCTTCAAGCCTCTTCCAGCAGTTCTGAGCAAAATCGACGTCTCTACACCGATAGAGGCGTCGAGACAGTTTGTCAAAAGTATACAGATCGCTCCATCGGCTCGCCGGCATCCGCCGACTTCGGTCGATATTCCGGCTTCCCGGAAGTCGGTAATCAGACGCGATATGTGTCCAGCAACGATCGCTTTAATGATCTCGCTCTACAGCGCTGCAACCAATCGCGGTCGATCGACAGATTCTCCAGCGATCGATACCTGGCTGGATCGTCACCCGCGCACGACGGTAGGCTGTCCGGTTCCGAGACGTCGCGTTATATCGTCTCCTCCACCGAACGTCTGCTGGCGCCGACGTCTTCCTCGCCGTCCTCCTCTTCAGAGACCGGTAAGTGCGCTGAAATTCTTGCTTCTTAATATAAGTCAAGGAAAAATATACGCTAAAAATCCGGTTTGACATCTATTCTCGATTTTCTTCATGTTGAAATACTGTCATATTTGTTTCTTATAAATATATGACACGTATTTAAATCAGAATACACTTTCCATCTACAAAATTCTTGCTTCAGTAATTCTATTTAATAACATTGGTTGAAGAAACATTGTTGTTTCAAGAATAATAAATAGATAAATTGAATAGAAATAATTGATGTATATCTCTGCAATTTTCATATTCAATATTTTATGTATTTTTTTATATCGAAATATATTTGTATAATTGAAAGATATCATTTAATATTGATTGCTCAATGCTCTTTTCCAAGCTTTGATAGAATTTTATTTCATGATTGCTTTACAAGCAATATCAATTTTCTGTTCGATATTCAGGCACCAGGTATCACTCGCCCTATACAACGTCCACCGGCACTCAATCTTCGGCTTCCAACGAGCGTTTTGCGTCAATTTCGCCGACACCCGAAGCGTCGTCGAACGTTCATCGCGGCGGTAACGGCAGTTATCAGAACACAAAGAGCACCGTCGACAAGTATCTGGTTTCGAAATCGGTTCAAAGCGGCTACGATCGTTACTCGGTCGGCCAGAACGATCATCAGTTCGGTCAAGACCGATACTTCGCCTCCAGCAGCAGTAGCGATCGTTTTCAAGCTACTTCCGGAGCTGAGCGCTTTCACGCTCCTGCTGATCGCTATTCGCCGGCACGCAGCGTCACCGAGAAATATCTGTCCTTGCCGAAGCCCAAGGACAGGTTCACCGGTCGCATAACGCCCATCTCCTGTGCCACATCCGTCGTCGCGACGTCCTCTACTGACCGCACTTATGGTTCGTCGAGTACCAGCTACGTGCCCCCGACTGCGCATACCCCCGTTGAACGATATGTACCACAACCACCTCCTGAAGTGCTCTACCCGGACAGGTAAAGATAAACACAATAAGGAATTTGGTTTTCTATTTTCATCCTTCTCTCTCTCTTATTGCAATAATACTAAAAATTTTAAGAATATATTCTTCCTCTTTTACAGCATTTCTCGAAATTCTACTATAAATGGCAATCGTTTCTATGCCGCGTAAATGTGCGTAATTTATGTCAGTTTGTTTTCGCGAAAAAAATCTTATTTCTATTAAAATACCCTGAAATTTTCCCAAACTCTTCGGCATTTCATTTCTGTTCAACCGTAAATCTGAAAGCCTTTTTCTCTTACGTTTGTTCAGGTACGTGGACAGGTATATGCCGCCCGCAGCGCACACGCCGACCGATCGATACGTGCCTGCGAGCGATCCAGGCGATCCATACATGCGTCGCGACCTTGGCTTTCATCACCACTATCGGCTACCACCGCCCGCCGGTTATCCGTACCAGACACATTTCCGGTTCCGCGGATTCGCATACGCGACGTCCAGCCGGTTAGGCGGCAGCCCAGGGTCCAGCAGCTCCAGCAGCACGGCGTCTAATCAGCGTGAGACGTTCGCCACGTCGCCATTGCTCAGGCCCAAAGTGCGCGGATCCGCGGTCGAGTTTGGCACTGCCGCCGCCGCGACGCCCACGACGACGACCGGCGTCGGTCGTCACGTGTGCACGAATCCAGCCGCCTGTTGCGGAGACACGTCCGCCAACGGTAGAGCCTGCTGCCAGATGAGGAGATCTCTGCCGCCTGGGACACTTCCAGCAATACCCACGCAGACTTCTTCATGGTGAGTACATTTATTTATTTGATATATATATATATAAAACTATATTATAAATATTTTATTAAATATTATTAGTATACTTCAAAATAAAAAATTGAAATATTTTATATATTTTACATTATATGGTAATATAAATTGTTTTGCTATCGCAGAAATAAACAAGCAATTAATTTCATAATTAACAAATCATAACATAATAAAAAATAAAATAATAAATTGAATAAATAGCTCATCCCATGAATTGCTCTGCTATTGTTCGAAACCACTGCAAATCTCTTCTTATTTATCCTTTGTGGTGCTACTGCTGCATGTCACTTGATATTCATTCGCGAGAATACGACTAATTATAATCGCACGAGCATTAATCGGCAGAATACAATTGCGCGATACTTTGCACGGCACTCCCGACGTTAAACTTTATTATATTGCAATCGAAGAACAATGCGAAAACTACGGGGTTCTCTCGAAAATCATGCAGTCACAATCCTATCTCTATTACTGATAAACAATATATAGCCGTGATCTGCAGCGTTTATTAATAATTAATTTGAAAATCCAGAGGCAAGATATTTTGCATACATTTTTTATTTTGATCATATTAAATATTTTAAGCAAGGAATTGATTGTTAAATATATTTGGATTCAAATGTATTTTGCTTCGAGTTTTGAATTTTTCGCCGATTTCGATGTAATTTGTTAATCATTATCGCATCGAGAACGCGCAGGATCGAATAATCAAAGCCGCGAAATATCTGAGGCGTGCATTAATAAATAATTAATAAATTTAATAATTAATAATTAATGAATTAATAATTAATTAATTTGAAAAGGGATATATATATTTCATGCGCATTTTTATATTTTATTATATTAAATATTTTGCACAATAAATTATGTATGTGCGTTAGTGTGTTATTATTTATATGATATATTTGGCGCTCGTTCTCGGAACGTAATAACATAATAGCGCATTCTTGTTTACACACATATCTTATATATCATATCGTATTCTTACCGGATGTTAGTCGTACGGCGTGAATTAAATGAGAAGGTATGTGACCCATGTCGTCGTATAATCCTTCGAAACGCGATTATTCGCTATAATTCGTGATTATCAGTTCGTGCAGATGATTAACTCTCGCGGTAAATAATATATAATCACGGCGACGGCTTTTTGATTGGAGTAACAAAAAGGCATGATATCTAACTTTTATCGATTTATTCGTGATACACGTGTAACTTCGCGCGTTAAAAATATCTCGTGTTTGCAATATTGAATTTCGATTATATATTTTCTGACAGTATATGGCGATGTGAATAGTCATTAATTCTCGTAATATCAGAGTGAAACCGACATGTTTCTCAATAACGAAATGTCGTGGTTACCATACGGATCGACTCTGAGTGGAATTGCGTTTAATTAAATAATATAATCTATAGTAATCTCTTATATCTTGATGTTTATTAACGGCGTATTACAAATTCGGTGTTTGTACATCATTGTAATTTGTCAAAACGCGTATTTCGAAGTTTATTCCGTCGAAATATGTTGTGCGAACATTTATTCGTTCATGTTATTCTCGTTATTAACAGAAATGTGCGATAATGATGCATAACTTTGATGATTTTCGAGTATCAAATATATATAATTTTTTGCATTGTTTTTCCGTCGCCATGTAATAAAATGCACGTCGAGTGCGATTAACGTCTGGAAGTGCCCTGCAAAGTGTCGCGCGATTGTTGTGTTCTGCTGATTAGTTTGCGCTCGCGATCATAATTAATCGTATTCTCGCGAGTGAGTGTCAAGTGCCATGAAGCAGCAACAGCGAACGATATACAAGAGAGGAGGAGGAGAAAGCTTACGATGACATCGAACAATGACGGAAGCAATTCATGAGATAAACTATTTATTCGATTTATTATTTGTCAATTGTGAAATTAATTACTTATTTATATCTTCGTGATAGTGATATACATATATTTTACACGTTACACTGTATTATATATTGCATTTGAAATATTTTAGATTTTATTTTTAAATATTTGAAAAACTTAATAAAATATTTATAACAGTTGACATTTTTTTTGTATAGACATAAAATATATTTCAATGTTACGATTAGGACTTATTTCATGATCTCGAGGAGTAAATAAATTTACGGAAATGTGTAAAATAAGGAATATCAGAAAAGAGCCAAAAGACAAAACCTTTTTTTAACGTGATTATATATATATAAATTAAGATTTAAAAATTTTTAAATTTTACATTTAAGTTCTTATTTTCTTTTTTTTCTTGAAAAAGTATACATTATATCAAATTTCAAAGCAACGGATCTATATCTCTAGATAGTTATAATTTTCGATGTAAATCGCGCATGTAATCGCTGACGAGAGGAAAAAAGAATCATTGATTAGCGAGGGCGAGCTTTAAAACAGGCGAAAGCCATAGCGTGCGTTGAGAGCTTGCTCGTGTAACAGGGGAGATTATAAAGGGAGACGGGGGAGGAATGGGATAGCTTCCGCAATATGCACATGCTCGCGTAATAATGCGCCTGTATAATAGAGCTCACGAATTAGAATGGAAAGAGCCCCTTAATTGAGGGATAAATATTATTTACGGGAGCGATGGGGACGCTGAGATTTTGGTTTAACACAGCATCTTCTTCAGTCTCGCTGTTCTTATGGATTCAACCGAAAACTAATTCTAATTTTTTATCTTAAATATATTTTATACGAGGATATTTTTTACTCGATCCTGTTATAAAGTAGTTTCTCCATTTCTGATAATTTCAATCCACTTTCGACACTTGTTTATTTCAATTAATTAACAATCATTTTATTAACATTTCTTGATCATGATAATTACGGAGAATAATTATGCGTAAAATGCTGCGTAAAATGCTAAATATAAAAATTGGAATATTATACGGAATATATATATTATATGAAATATAATATCAAAATGAGTAAAAATAAATTGAAATATTACATTATAATTGATTTTATCTGTTCGAGTTGTTTTTAACTTGAATAATAAATTAATTACGCATGAAATCTACAGTAAATATCTCCGGCATTAATTTATGATAAATATTTTTGTAATTAAACATTAGAATGTGAGATATTATTTTGAATATTATTTATTATTATTATTATTTTTTTTTAATAGCGGAAGGCATACAAGAGCATTTTTTCAGCGGATGTTCTTAGAGGCAAAAAATTTAAGCAATTATTAAAATTATTTCAAGTTTGATAAATTGTAAGTAATATTGAATCTTTCGCGAAAAGATCGTATGCATTAGCAATTTATGAGAACACTCGGTGTACATTTTGTATCTCATCCCGTTGAATAGATCAATAACAGATATACAGATATAACTACGTCATTGAAAGAGCGTATCTTGGCTCTCTGGCTATTAAAGGTACCTTAATTGTCATTGAAACATCGATTTCACGGATATGGAAGATATGAAAAGGAGTAAGACGAATCCGCTCGCGATACTCCATTAACCTGATTGCCACGACTTATTTGGAGTTTTCGATTTTTGCCACCGCCAAATGCGGACTCGCGTTCTAAATTCCGACTGGCATTTAAAAAAATGCCGTTCTTTTGAATCTTGAATAGATGCGCACTGAGAATAAAACGCGACTAATAATCAATAAGGAGTCACCGACTGTTGCCAGACATAAAAAGAGAATTGAGGACACGGAGCAAGATACTTTTAAACATCGTGGCAAAAATTCGAACAATTCAATGCCGTATAGAAAAATTTTAGGATTTTTTGCGTTTGTTGATAATGTACACTTATTTAATCGATAGCATTCCGCAGTTTTGCAAGAAATGTCAAAAAGCTTTTATTTTATACTGTGTAGGATATTGTAATTATACATTAGTTATAAATAATGTAAAGTTAATTATGTTTTACATTATTTATAACTACAGTATAATTACTGTTCTATAATGTAATTTTACTCTTTAATTGTAATTATACTAGAATTTATATGTGTAAATCTAGTGAAACCCACAATGGAGCCTGTTTAAGAAATAACGTGTATAAAATTTTATGAAAGTTTAGTTTATTTCAATCACACATTGTGTGCATGCAACAGAATAACGTTACTTTAATTCATAAATGTTCCTGGAATATCGAACGATTATCTCCAAATAATTTTCGACCGCAAAGTCGATCTTCATGCTGAGCAGTCTACTTTCTCTCTGAAACCCCTCATTCGAATTTCATCCAAATTAATCCAGATTGCTTCAGTACGATCTCTCGCGGTGAGGATGGAAGGGGATAGGGGTAGACGAATGACTCGGAAGTCGTAAGGGGGAGCATCCGGGCATTGTCTCGCGCCGGCAACGACGATGTTCCACGAGCTGCTGGCAACTTCGGTAATTATGTCGGGCTCGTGAGTTTAACTGGCCCCGTCACACGAAATTGCAATCTGACACCGGCCGTCGTCATGTCAGTTTCAATTAAGGATTTTATCCCCGCTCACCTATCGTCTCCGCTCCCCTTCTCGCTCTCTAATCTTTGACAAACGTGGCAACAATATTATTAACCTTTAATAAATATTTGTCGCATATATTATTCTTAATAAATTCTAATTTTGTATGTAATTAAAATAGCTTTGCATAGAGATAATAATGATAGATTTTTTTTTAAAGAGAATGTTATACGTATGTATAAAATAGAAATGTGACGGTATTTTTCAGCATCTTTAATTTTTTATTCAACACAATATACAGAGTGTTAAAAAAACCATTCAATATTTATATAGTAGATAGGACATACCATACCGACAACGAGTAAAAAAAACCTTAGTAAACATAGGTCGAAAACTCAATCGTTTCTGAGATACAAACGTTTTTGTTTGTTAGCATTATGATTGACTTAATGGCTTTTACGTGTCGCATGCGATGTTTACTTCAGTGTTTATAAACCGCGTTTTGAATGTCCTCATTCAATTTCCATACATACTTCATAACAGAAGATTTCACC